GCAAAACTCTGGACCGCAGGTGTCTATGGTGGGGAACGAACGCGCTATTGTCCTTTCCGGCAGAAAACATTATAGAAGGCAGAAAATAAAACGTTAAACATTGTGATTTCAACTACAGCCATAGCTTAACTGGGTTCTATGCCGATTTGCGCTCCCCAGATCAACCCCGCTGACGGGTGATTGCTGTGGCAAAAAGATCGATAGAAATAGCTGAGAGACAGGCGAAACGAAGCAGCCGCATGGTGTGGTGGTGAACGCGTTACTCCCCGGAAAAGACAATAGCGCGTTCGTTCCCCACCATAGACACCTGCGGTCCACAGTTTTGCAAATATCTCAGCAACGTTGTGGTTGTATAACTACTAGTTTTATATTTTCACCACTGCATAAGTTTTATGTCTTGTGGAAAATATCCAGAGAAAATCTTTAAGATCTCATCAGAAAACGTTCAAAAATTTGTAAATGCTATACTGTTTATGGCGCAGTGGCTGGAGGCGGCACTGCAACACGCAAGTGGAATCGATCCCCGAGCCCATAGCCCACTAAGCCTTCATTCTCTCCGGGGTCGTCAAATTGGTACCAGACTTGGCTGGAAGGATAACAGCACTGGATGGATACATCGGTAAGCCTCCGCATGTCATTGTAATGGCCAGATGTGCATTCAATCACCTCCAAGGATGCTTAGTGAAGTCGAATGCATGGCGTTTCCCTCAGGGATTTATTAACGTCGTTAGCTTTACCCTTCTATTATTTTTATACTGTTTTGCTGTGAGATGTTCAATAGAGTGAACGCATTTCGTACTGCCATGCTGATCACTTTTAGACTTGCAAAAATGTCTCGTTCGTAAAGAACTGTTGGTAACGCCAATTTTTAAAGGAAAATAATCTATTAAATCGACCACGGAGTGAGTACGGTGTTATTTGGAACAAAGAGGCCAAATAAGGCGCAAATTTAATGCTTGAAGACTTCAGAGGAAATATGAACGAAACACAAATTCAATTATAGCACTATGTACAAGATCCTATACACGAATTGTCATAGGTTTGATCACGCGGCCAACACAAAGAAAGCCCGCCATCCGTCCGGCGTCGACAAATTGCTTGCGGACTGTAGCGGACTGGCTTGGGAGGATAAAAGCACTGACCCCATACCACGATGGACCATTACAGGTTAAGTCATTTTATAGTAGACCAAATGTGTGTCCAAACACCTTTTGACTAAGTTGAATGCATGATGCATTCTTTGGGAATTAATCAACGCCTAACGTTTCATCGCTTATCCTATTAGAGAACCATGCCGTTGAGGACACACTGAAGTACTTAAAACAATCAACTGATCATCAGTCGCCTTCTTCGTCTTGAACATCATTCAAAGCCGTTTTGTTGCTCTGTAAGAAGAACTCCCTACTTTACAGTCAACTGGGAAACTGCTATGCTACCGTTGCCTTGTCGTACATAGACCACTAGTTGAGCCTGGTCTTCTCAACAGACACAAAGACCTTTACAACACAAGCGGTACACAAATAATCTTTACAAAAACGTTACAACAAATTCATTTAAAAAAGCACAATCAATTATGAGTGTTAACCTTGGAAGGATGTCAAACCTTACTCATGAACTAAAGATTAAACACACGCTTCTGAAAAAAACGTTTGATTGAGATAATTAGTAATTTTCGAGTATAGTACAGAAATTCACTCACTCACCTAGTCCACTTCTTCATTTGTGAAGAAGCTCAGTCTACAGGACTACATTGTTCCGTACCACCTCACAGTGGATAAACAAAGATAAAGCGTTAATCAATCACCGTTTTTTACGTGACTTCCAATGACGAAGATTAGAACAGCTGATTATAGTCGGACGACTAGTCAACGGGAATAGAGCAGATCGAACATATTTTCCATTTTCTTCGACTCGCCAATATCGTCCGTGATGACGCTTTGAATCGAACATAGTGTAATATTATAGTGTCACACCATAATAAGTAAAACATCTTCAATTGCGAGTCCAACTGATTAACTTTGTTCAGAAATACGTCCATCCATCGTGTTGGGGTCACCCCAGGAAACGTGTTTATCCTTATGGAGTCCACCCTACATTTATTTTCCTCCATCTTGCGCCTATTCTGTTTATCATATGACCAGAGCATCTACGTTTCGCTATAGATGTTACAGATGTATAATGTCCTGGTTCTCGATTAAAGTGATAGCTTTCGATGGTTAGATTATCACATTCCTGCTAGGCGTTTTAAGTACCGGTTGTATTCCAGAAGATATGATTCAAGGGATCAGTGGGTGAATTCCCTGAAATGATTGATATATCAGTGCACGGTTATACTAAATAACCCAGCACTATTAGGACCGCTGAGTCGAAAATGTGAGTGAGGTTTTTCGGCTCTATTAGTTGGTCGGTGGCTCCTCGTAGAATCCCGAAATAGGACTTCATTGCTCTCCTTTTCGATGTAATTCTTCACTGAACGGCCAAAATACATGTAGGAGGTCACCTCCATAGAACCCTAGCTAGATTTGCTTAGTTCGCAACATAGGTTCTTCATGAACTGTGTTTTCGTCCTATTTAGGTGCAGTCCAATTTTTTTCTAGCTTCGTTGAGGAGACTGAGCGTCGCCTCTATTTCTCTGATACCCATCAAGCCGATGACGGCAAAACGAAAGTTGGACAAGAATTTGAGATCAGCGCGTGGGTCCTTCTCGTCCTAATGCAGCGAATTCATTATCCGCTGCAATGCGAATGTGAACAGATTTGGCTAGATGTTGTTGTCTTTTGGAACCCTATGGGAATAGAAAGCGATGGAAAATGTGTGCTTTTGTGTTACAGATCCGATAACGACCTGTTAGTGTTCGTATATAGGACGGGTCCAGCCATTGGTCAACGAGGGCTGCCGATAGGATTAAATTCGTTTCGATGCTGTCAAACGCTTTCTCACAATAGATAAAGGTTAGCGCAAAAGGCGGGTGATACTCTTGACAGATGTCTATAGCCTGTCTATGGCCTATGGTGCCATGGTTTGCATGTGGTCAGAATCTCGTTTCCATAGCTGTTCGTGCTTCATCAAAAGTTCATGATATGGAGCTTTTATCCTATAACTGTGTACTTGTACATCCTTGATTTTTTTGATAGTTCTATTATTTTGCTAACCACAACATCACTTGAACAACTTGGCTCAAATTGAAATTCTATACGATGATTCTAACAGAAGAAAATCTTTAAAGACTATAGGGATTATGACCTTAGGACTTTTTTTTCACAACGTCTAACCATAAATTTTAAAAAGTTAAGCCTCAAATTAACAAATTTAGAGAATATAAAATTGCACTTAACCAATTCTAATTGACGACGTGTTGCCTCTACCCATGGGAGTTCCTGGATATGAAGTGGAAAAATTTTAAAGACGCATGAGTTGATTTATACGTCACAGAAAATGTGTGAAAGTCCTAACTGAAACCGAAAAACACTTTTATTGCGCATGTGGCGCAGTGGTCAGAGGCGCCTTGCGACACACACGTGGAATCAATCTCCGCGCCCATCGCCCACTATCTTCATCTCCGTGGTCGGCGAATGAGTACCAGACTTGTCTGGGAGGATAGCAGCACTGGCTCGGTAGGCCACCACGAGTCGTTGTAGAGAGATATGCCTAGATATGCACTAATCACCTCCAAACGATGCTTAATGAAGTTGAATGTATGGCGCATCCCTCAGGGATTGATCAACGCCGAGAGTTTTATCCTTTGTCCTTTTCTTGCTTGAATTGGCATATTCTTCAAATAAATCTTTAGTGGCTTTACTGCTCAACACAGATTGTATTAATTGAAATAAAAACCACTGCAATAAACTGAACATACGTATTTTTGCCAACGAGAAACATGCTTATTTATACCGGTTGCGCAGAATTCGAGCTTCTTGTGACGACGAATTCATTGAAGATAGCTCTTACCTCGGATTGGTTTATAAAGCATTTCTCGCGTAGGAAGTAGTTGACATGCCTGAAACTGGGGATGTGAAAAGGCGAGTGGTCTGGAGTGTATGTTTGGCAAAGCAGAGTTTTGTAGCGAGGCACGTTTAACTTTTGCAACATCGGTACTGTGGTTTCACGTTACCGTGCAGCAGGATTGTTCTCTTTCTTTTAACAAATCTAACTGCCGCCGTGCACGATTCTAGGATATTTTGTCGATTGCCTTGTCATACTTTTCCACCGTAATCGTTTCCCACTAAATCAGGAAACTGCGATTGATCGCACTCTCTGTGAGCCACTAAACGGTAAAGACGACTTTTCCGTATATATTGGTCTTTTAGAAGTGCTACGGAGCATCACAACGCTCCATCCACTACGCGGATCGTCATCACTTGTTACAGAGGTTTGATTTCTGGTAGCACGTCACAACAGATTCGGAAAGCGGGTCGTTCTGATTGCGCAGTAGAAACGCTAGCGACAGTTCAATAGGACGATTTACTTGATTTCCATTAGATGCGTGCTAGATTGGTGGGTTTTCCTTATTTCCGATTTTCTCCAAAAGTTTATAGTAGTTGGGGTGTTTACATCGAGTTCTTGTGGAAGTTTTCTAACACTTGTGCGCGAATTTGCTCAAACCTATGCCTTCAATTAACCGTCGTCAATTGCATCATGAAGTCCGCGACCTTATTCATCTTCATGGTTGAAATCACCAAAACGAGGCATTCCTAATGAAAGTTTCAGCAGTTTTTCAGCTTAACTGGGTTCAATGCCGATTTGTGCTCCTCACATCAATGCCGCTGACAGTTGATTGCTAATGGCACTGGTAGGTAGAAAACTAGCTGAGAAAAAGGCAAAACGAAGGACACGCATGGTGTGATCATGAGCGCATTATCTCCTGGAAAGCGTAATAGCGTGTTCGATCTCCACCGCAGACACCTGCGGTCTAGAGTCTTGCAAATATTTCAACTTCGCCGTGAAAAATTGCAGTACGCAGTAAATAAAAAGCTAACACTATTCACATAGTTAACTCAACACTACATTTGTTGTAGAATTGTGTTCAAATTCGCCGACTCATCAACTGTGGATACGACATGTACAGTGGCTAGCAGCAGCTCCACTAAGGCCGTAGCCGCCAAGCTTAGCTGCCCTCTAAGCAGCGAATTGAAAACCAACCAATAAATCCAATCGCACACCCCACCAAACATGTTCTCAAGGCTTCGAATTGTTGGATAGAACTTCTCATTTCCCATGTTGTCGATAATTCTGTTCATAAAGGAGTAACTCGGTCAAGCACCAGCAAATTCCCCTTTGCTTTGCTGTGGTGCCCAATGAGCTTCTGTGCATAAAGGACGCAAGGGCATCACACTCTCGATATGAGGCCATATAGTTAAACCGCCTCAAGGAGGAGGATAGTCATGCGCAACCAATACCCTACCATGACTCTGACGTATAGTTAATTTGGGATTCGGACGGTAATGTCAAACTCGTCCAAATTCGTGCTTTGAACAATCATGAACAGAATGCGCCGCTCTACGTCTGTTTATCGTGGTGCGGCAACAACTATCCTGAAATCAGAATCCATATTCGGAGTCGAATTCGTTCATATCGTTGCAAAATATATTTACCCATGAATTTTTCCATTCTTCGATCAAAATACGTGCAAATGTAATTGACAGCTGCCGTTCATCTATAAAATCCATCTTTTGCTCCACTTGAAATGACAGCAGGGTGTTTTATGATGATTAGGCATGGTGTTGACAACTAAACTTTTAAAGAGCTTGTGTAAAGATAACGGAAAGTAGAAGTTCTCTCGATTTTAGACGTCCAGCCTTCCTGAATACGAAGAAGTAGACAAAGCGTTAAATTCATCTGACAGCCACCTTGGACAAAACATAGTTTCCAACGACATTTCGTTGATATTTCTCAACAATTAACTTGTTTTAAAAGTTGAGAATTCCTTACACCTATGGCACAGACCTCTCTATCGTTCCCAAGGTATAAACTCCATCTTCGAATTGTTATTCTATTTTATGCTTGGTTAAGATCAAAATTTTCAAAAAAATTCAGAAGAGAATTTGAATTTGAAATTATACAATGCAAGTCTCCCAACGGTATACCGCCTCATAGTGGCTGGGAGGTGTTCCTTGGTGTCGTACTGTGATGTACAGCGGGCGGAAGGATTCGTCCTCACAGCAGGATCTCCCAATCTGAGAAGGAGTCCGGCGTTTCCATCAGGAAGCCTAGCTAAGAGTAAGAGACCTGGCGCAGACTTTGGCCAGGCTGACCTCGGGATTGCAGGAAACCAAAACGGCCTAAGCAGCAAATCTGCGAAAAATGGTGATTATGCTTGGGGCGCACAACCAGTGAGGACGGACTGTTCAAGTATCAAGTAAGTATAAAACAAGCAAGCTGGCCGAAAGCACAATGGTACATTTTCAGGCAATGTGGTCTCTTAGTGGAGCGAACACGCCAATTCAATCGTGGTGCTGTCCGAAGTACGAATCTCCAGGCTAAAGCAAAGGAAAGAACAACTTCCAAAAGTTTCAAGAATATAAAATTGTCGTCCGCTAAAAAGAATTTCATTCTTCTTTGCACGGACTTGTAGAAAAACATATTTATTTAAAGTTTACGACCACAGTTAGTGCCAGGCGATCTTTCGTTGAAATCAATGCATTCAATGTGAAATTTGGATATGATTCCCTTAGGCAAGTAGTTAACAACTTTCTGATAATCTGGTCAAAAAGAATCGAAAAGAAAGGAAGTATCGATCAAACATAAGGAATGAGCTTTTGAAGGAGAAAAAAGAAAACAATGACAAAGATTAACTGCACGAAGAAACTGATTTTGGAATGTGGGACGAATGGTAAGTGCGAATAAAATGTTTATAGGATATGCCGTCTGGGGTTGGAATATGCCAACGAACACACAAAAAACTTAATCGAATATTCAGTGACGAACAAGGAAACAGCAGCATTCAAAATCTGACTGGCTCTAGTCATCTCAGAAGTGAATAAGAAATCTATGACGTCGAACTGCCCACAATACTCGTCTACCATTCGAGCGCAGTAGATGAATACAGGCGACGATTTCCACTCGTCGAGGGTAGGCCCACTGTTAATCAAGAGTCCAGCATATGGCAAACCAGTTTTTCACTGAAAGCCAATTGTATCCACTGCCATGCACCCTTATTACTCACTGAATTGCATATTAGAATAATGTTGGGAAACACATTCATTTCTTTCATTTTTTATTTATTTTTATTTTATCTGACCCGTCTTCACGTCTGCTATGCGGATTCCAGCATTTCTCACATACAGTTCGTTTCCACGCATCCGTCGTTTACGAAGGTCTTCCAAGTTTTTACGTGCGGCTTCGGTTGTTTCTTGAGGATTTTCATTTCATCTTGAATGTCGTGGAATGCTGGTCGTGCAATTTTCTTTGGAATCCTGAGATAGCCGGAATGAAGCGTTCCCAATTTGATTGCACAGAGTAAATTTTTGCCAGAGAAATCCGGTACCAATTTCCCGACGCCGGAGGGAGGAGAGACTTGATTGGCCTCGAGCGGAATCGAACTAGCACCACGTTCGTGATGGCGGGCACCGCTACTCTAATCGCCTCACATTTCTTTCATTGTTACGATAATTAGTGTTGAAGAGAAATCTCCTTGAAAGGACACTATTCGGCTACACTTAGCAATTTGAAGCGGAGCATCATCTGTTCCTCGGATGTTTCCCCTTCAGTACTTTTTCAATGTTCGTTCTAATCGAGTTGCTCCAGAATAAGGTGTTGGGATAAAAGTACTACTAAAAGAAAGCTGGACCAAAAAGCAAAATCAGTACGGATGTACACGACTCTGAGGATAGAATAAAGTCGTTCAAATTAGACAATTCCGCTTAATATTAGGAGATTATGAAAAAAGATTAAGGTGGTTCATAACTCCTTTCTTGATATCCATCAAACACACCACACATTTGCTCTTTCGACAGTTCGTGTAGGTTACTACTCTATTCCGCTTTATAATTTATACATGCAGAGCTCACGATCTCTGCGTCTGGTCTGTCGACTTATTCAAATTTTCCGTATGATCAGAAATCAAAGACCATCAACACGTAGTATTTGTAGGATCAACAAAAACCTCACTGCCGAGGTTCAACTTATTCAGGTGACCTACGGAAGCAGTAAATAAATCCATGGAAAATGATCAATGTTCTTGGCCGTTTGTTGGCAACTGGCAGAGAGCCTTCATGGTTTCCATAACCCTTCTGGGGCTTGCATTTCTGGCTCATACAGTGTTTGGCGAAATCAAATCAGTGTATTCTTTCTTTGATGAGTTTACACGAGGTTGATAATGATATATATTTTCGGCTAACGTTTCGACAACTTCGTCCTCCTCAGAGCCGATGATCCGAGTCGATGGTCCATGCTTGTTATTCGTCTCGACGTGGCAGCTTCGCCTTCGTGTCGAGCCAGGTCTTCCTCAATGATCCATCTCCTCGAATGAGGCATCCTCACCCAGTGATGCCCTTTTATACACAATGCTGATGGTGGATATAATGATAATGCCTGGTGATAACAACTTGTTTTTCTTCCGGACATACATCATTGCGCACATCGTGCAGAAGTCGGTGTTCGTGAAAGTCAAGTCAGTGTTTTTGTCTTCCTAGGCAAGTCTTGCCCCAACTACTCACCTTTGAGGGATAGCAGGCTTGGTGAACCCGGAGTGCAGAATCGAACCAACGACGTGTATTGCAGTGAACTCTAACCAGTGCATGCGCCCACAAGGAGCTATACAAGCCGGGTTTTCATAAGATGACAAGGACGATGGTAATCAACTTCACATAGTATTCATGATAGCACTTGATAGAGCACGAATTATGTGGTGATAACCACTAGCACGTCTCACATCATAAAATATTATTTCCAATGCTCAAAAATTAACTTTCCAAAAAAAAAACCGCGGAACGGAACAAAAAAAGAGTTATAATGGGCGTCCACCTATGTCATGATTGAAGCAACTCTGTGTGGTATGACAGATCCGGTTGAATTGAACAGTTACCTGGAAATAGCTAATGCCTTTTAGATATGAATGTAAACAGAGACATACTATTGTTAAGTCAATCTTGCCAGGAGAATAAAGAAACTGTGATCAATTCTTCATTGATTCCCTTCTTCACCACGGACGTGTTTCAGGGATCAATTAATGGCAATCTATCAGTGAATAAGAAAGAATGATTTGAAGAAACAGAGGATTACATTACAATATGGAGAAATGTGGTTATTACAGAGTTGAGAGAGCAAAACCTCTAGCTGTACTGAAGGAAACAAAAGGCTGTGCACAAAGTTTCACTGAATAAATCGATTTTGTGTAAAATGGAAGGAAACACAGGTCTGCTTTTCAAAAATGCCGTGTCTGAGGATTATCTCAGTGACAGTACCGATTTCAGCTTTCCCTATTATTGGCAGTGCTACCTGATTTGGAATTCAGATCTGCTCTTAAATATGCATATTAATCTGTCAGAGAGGCGAGTGAACTATGTGTTAACTTGTAGTGCCCGTGATGCAACGAGCACAACTTATTCGATGCCAGAATAATGGCCGCTTCCAACGTTAACTCTTGCGCGATGACGCAACCTGTGCAGGAGACATTTGTTAGGTGAGGCGTAACCGGTGCGACCTGTCCAGAGGTCATTTTGTTTTCGGTGGTTTATTTGGGCCTACAGAACTGTTGTCCTTACTTATTGTAGTCAGTCGATTGCCTTTTCTACATATATGTTCTGGCTAACGTGAGATGAAAAAGGTATAATTCTTCCCTTTGAGCTATACAAAAGGTTCTTCTCGAACGACTTCACTTGCCGGTAATTTGAAGGGTAATGAACTATTATTTTAATTCTAACTGCCAAAATAGTAGTAGTGATAAAATGGAGTGGTAAGGTACAAAAGTAGGCGGACTAAATCCACATAAGCCACATAACCCTTTCAAACGATGGTATAAATATGTTTATTTGACTGATTCCTCCCAACACTTCACCGCCTCATCGTGGCTGGGAGGTATACCTGGGTGTCGTGCTTCGATGTACAGCGAGGGATTCATCCCCGTCGCCTGGTCTCCCAAGCTGAGGAGGCCGGTATTTCTATCAGGAAGCCTTGCTATGGGTAAGCCAATACTAGGATCCACCGTCCTGGTATCAAATTAGTCTCATGGTGGCAAATCTCCCTCTCTTCCAGAGTGGCTGCGACTGCCTGTGGGGGTGCCGACCAGCGCCGGAGTTTA